TTGCAATATTTCTTCTGTAAGGTCTAGTACACCCAGGATTTCATCTTTCACTTGATCCTCTAAGCAAAATATGTGGGCATCATCCTTGAGACAAACAAAGATGTGACATTAATATTAAAATAAGATTTCCTCAAAAAAAATGGAATAAGATTATGATTTCTTTGGACAGTATGATTACCAATATATTAATCGTATATTGTATACTATTACTAATAAAGACATGCCAAATAGAAAAGGCATTGACCCTGATTTATGTTACACATGAAAACAGAGAGAGAGAGAGAGAGAGAGAGGTGGGGGATTTGGTATTGACATGGTACTGTTTATTATCCAACTACATGGAGGATAACAATGCCATTTTTGCTGGGCTAAAAAGAAAAAAAAACTCCCTTGTCGCCTCAAAAAATTAATGGAAATTCAAGCACAATAAAGATTGTAAAATACATTAAGCATACCTGGGTAAAGCCCCTGACACGAAAAAGGCCATGTAAGCTCCCAGACAACTCATATCTGTACACTGTTCCTAGCTCTGCAAGCCTGATTGGGAAATCTCGAAATGAGTGTGGCTTCCTTTTGTAAACCAATATATGGTAGGGACAATTCATTGGTCGAAGCTGATAAATCTCGGTCTCAATCTCCATTTGATCAAACATATTCTCTTTGTAGAAATCAAGATGGCCACTTGTCTTCCAAAGATCTGCTTTTGCTACATGAGGAGTATATAGCAAATCATACCCATGTTCCATATGAATCTTCTTCCAGGCATCTTCTATTATGTGTCTCACAATAGCCCCATTGGGATGCCAGAATACTAAACCTCCACCAGCTTCATCCTGCCAGTGTATGAGAGCTTGAGATTCAGATTCGTGTTAGCTGGCCAAACATCACTGTATCAGTGCACTTGCGCTATGTTTGGTTTAGAGAAGAAAATGATGAGAATAAGGAAAAAGAGAAGAAAAATATTGGACAACTTTTTCTCTACCTTGTTCTGTAAGAAAACAAAATGACAAAATGTATATTAAAAAATGGTCCCATTTTCATCTTCACTTAGGAATGGTTTAAAGAAAGTCTGGGACCACATGGTTTTTCTCTCTATCCTTGTCCTCTTCAAAGCCAAACAAAGAATATGGTAAAACTCTATTCTTTTTATTTCCTCTCAGTTGTTTTTCCATATTTTTCTCCCTTACCAAGCACACCGTCAAGGTGAATAATGGGGCATGGGAACTGCTAATTATCACCAGTACCTGAATGGAGAAGAGATCTAGATCTTGGCCTAGTCGGCGGTGATCCCTTCGCTTAGCTTCCTCTTTGAAGTGAATATATGCTTTTAATTGCTCTTCAGTCTCCCATGCTGTACCATAAATCCTCTGGAGCATTGGCTTACTCACATCTCCTCTCCAGTAAGCACCAGCTACAGATTCAAGCTCAACAGCATTCCTGTCAATATTTCCAGTAGATTCAACATGAGGCCCAGCACAAAGATCCCACCATTCATCACCTAAAAGAAGTGTAACATGTACTGATTATTAAAAGGGATTGTGATTGCAATTATGATCATGTACCATACAGGGACTAAAGAAGGAAGATATTATGTTGTAACTTGCGAGAAACAATGCAAAGAGGAAAAAACTTACATATGTGCACTAGATTAAAGAGGATAAGAGACTCTCGGTCCCAAGTTCAACATCTAGTTGCACTAGATATAAAGCTCACTATTTGTAACATATATAACCCCAAAGAGTATCTAGTATTAACATTTAAAAAAGGATCACACTATTTGTACACCCCAAAACCCCAAAAAAGTGCACACCAAGTTTACACCACCTCTTTTTTCCCATTCCCGGAGATAAACAATTTGTGTCTGTGTACGACACGCACGAGTTTTGTTGTAAAGTGCAAAATATGAGGTGGTGTAAACTTGGTGTCATAGTTCTCACGGCGCCAAGGTGAGGCGAGGCGCGGCGCCAGTGTACAGCCCTGACTCCTAGCCAACTAGGCAACCGCCTTGGCAACAGTTAGGCGGCCTAGGCCGAAACACATAAAAAATCAGTGTAGGTGTACCAATTAGAAAAAGGAAATATGCAGTCAATACTACCTTTGTCCCAAAATAAAAGGGATTGTTAGGTTTAAGAGGTTTAAGATGTTTGTTTTACCTTTGTCCCAAAATAAAAGGAAATATGCAGTCAATACTATCTTTTACTGAAGACAAAGAGATTGTTTACAACCTTTGAAACCATAAGCAACGGGTATATGGGTAGTTACTAGCCACAACATGAAGCTCTATCTAATTATAGCTTCACTTATTACTACCTTTGTCCCAAAATAAAAGGGATTGTTAGGTTTAAGATGTTTGACTAAAGTTATTTGTAATTCAATTTAGAGTAATTTACCTAAATAGGACTAAAACATAATGACTTTCTCAATATGGGACCATATGTTTTTATTTTCCAATATAGGACCAATGGCCATTATCTATTAGTCATAATTCAACTAAACGTCCCGCATCACTTGGACATTATTCTTCTCACTAGTCATTATTAAGTCCTATTTAGGGAATAAAAAAGTTTAAGTCCTACATTGAGAAATGACTTATGTTTTAGTCCTATTCAGTGCAAATTTCACTTCAATTTATTTCAAAGTTGGTATAGAAATAATTAAATTATTTAAAACTACATTAAAAAATCTAAATAAACAAGAGGTGACATGAATATATTATTTCATCAAATAAGTAACAAAAATAGGCAAAATAATGGATAACGCCTGACCCTATAAATAGTGAATTGGGTTTTTATTTTGGGACGGGGGAGTATTAATTAAAAAATAATAATCAAGTACTCAGTTTGCATAAATGGATAACTGCATAATTAAGATCTAGTTACTCGAAACATACATAATTAAACAAAGAGTTCATAATTTTATTTAAAATCAAATAATGTTGTAAGGAAGAGTTTTTAATACGGAGTATCATTCAATTTCAAATAATGTAATGTCATACCTATATGATAAATTGTTACAGGATCATCCTTGATACTATTCAAGATCTCCAGCTTGTAAGGTTCATTTATAGCCATTATTCTTTCCTCGGCTTCATCTTTGCTCACTTCTTCCCTAATTAGGGGCAAATTTCTCCTGATAATACAATCCTACAAATGCTTCAACATATAAACTCAGCATCTAGAAACTTAGTCCATGAAGGTTAACATACATGTGCTTGTCTACAATTATTATTGCAGAGAGAGAGAGAGGGAGAGAGAGAGGGAGGGAGAGAGAGGGAGAGAGATAGAGAGAGAGAGAGGAGGAAATTGGCAATTAAGCCAGCTCACCATCTCCTGCTTAATCCTCTTGAGGTCACTATTAGTCAAAGGCTCCATATCAAAATCATAATAAAACCCATTCTCTATCCAAGGCCCAATAGTTACTTTTGCATTCGGATAAATCTTTTGAACAGCCATGGCCATCACATGAGCACACTGCATGAATACATTACGTAGGTATTAGGTGTTTGAAAACTCAGTTTGAGCTGTCAGAGCAGGGTGTGGTGTAGAGATGAGGATATGGGTTATCTGAGAAAATGATAAGCCATTACAAAAAAAATCAGGTTACAGTTAGCTACACGGATGGAATGATTTTACACTGGACATATCTATACTCTTGGAGATATCCTGATGTCATACAAGGCAGTTTCATACGAACAACAACAACAACCCAGTAGAATCCCACAATAGTTTAATACAGAGTATTGTATAACATTTGGCATTGCAGCAATAAGAAAAGGTTGTTGCTAAATCCACTCCTCGTGTGGCTATATCCACCCCTTTTTATATAAACTGAAGAAATTTACCTTTAATATTTAAAAAAGGGAAAGAAATAAGTGAAATGCAAAGTTGTCAATTCCTTATAAATGGAGTACATTTAGCAATATAAGGGGTGGATTTAGCACCACCCAAAAGAAAACCACATATACCATTGCTAGATTCATTTCAATGAACAAAGCATGTTGTCAGACAGACACTTTTTAGCAAAACTGTTTAGATCCTTTTTTTTTCTTTCAAGGTTTTTAAAGAACAGGCAACTGCAATTAAAATTGAACCGGGCCTTTTACCAGTTTAGCTCCACTTTTTTACTGCGAGAATTATAACAATAATTCATCTACTCCTGGCCAAATTAAGAAGGAAAATATACCATCACTGCGTATTTAGTGAAATGGGAGAAATGAAGATACCGTGTGGCGAATTCTGAGAAGACTCTCAGACGACTCATTAGTGGGCGGGACGACTCTCTCCATCGGGGCATTACTTTGGGCATCAGCAGGACGACCCACATGGCCTGCGGCGGAGTCTGTTTCGGAAGAACCGGCGGCGACGGCGGATGAAATTGTAGAGATACGCCTGAAATAGCTTGCCTTCGTTGCGGCGGAGCTCGAGTGGTGTAATACAAAAAGGCCGATTTGGTGGCGTTTGGTGAGGGAACATAGAGTGGATTTCGAAGCAAGCGTGAGGGGAAAACGAGAAGATAATAGCGATAAGGCGGTCATCCTCTGCAGGAGGCTAAGATTCTTCATCGGCCCTCCTGTCTTACTTCTGCGGCGAAGATTGTTTCTTATAAAACTCCAGCAACACGCCTCTTTTTAGTACTAGAAAAAACAGAGCAAACCACACAAACAAAAATGAAAAATCTAAAAAAACGTTATAAAAGTACGGAGTATATTTTTATATTATTTTCAATTTAATTTTTGTTTTTATAAATTATTATTATAATTATTATTATTAGTATTATTATTATTATTATTATCACGTTATCTTAATACTCCCTCCGTCCGGAAATAATCTTTCCACTCTACGTTTTTTTCCGTCCGGAAATAAACTTCCCACTCTACGTTTTTATCAACACTCTTCCAAAAATACCCCTCATTTACTATCGCCACCTATCACTTACTCACTCTCTCTCTCTCTCTCAACCACTCCTTTCTTCTTATCTACTCCGTACTTTTCCAATTTCTCCCAATCTTCATCCTTCCTCTTCATCGTAAGTCTTCTTCATCTTCTCTCTCTCATTTCTTGTCCTTTTTCTCCCGATTGGATCTAGGTACTCCTTTCTTCTTCTTCTTTTTCATCATCTTCTTCTTTCTCTTGATTCTTTGTCTCTCAGATCTGTGAGATCTCCGGTGGTTAATCTCTTCATGTATCTTCTTCTTATTTTTTCTCCTCCTGTCCCCACCTTATTCTTTCTCCTCCCTTTTCTTTTATTCTCAGACATGGCGACGGTAAGGTTGAGATATTTCTTCTTCTTTCTTGTTTTAATTTTTTTAGATCTAAGATTTTGGGGCAGGCGACGTAGATGACGGCGAAGGAGGAGGGGCTGATGGTGGCGGCCATAGGGCAGAGGCGAAGGTGGGGCAAGTGGTGGTGGACGGTGGTGGGGGCTGTCAAAGGTCGGCGAGCAAGGGGTGGTGGGCGGCTGGACTATGGCGTGAGACATGAAGTCAAGGGGCATTTTGGACAAATTACACATATAATCAACATCCACTAAAAATAAGAAAAAGTCAAATTGGGAAGTTTAATTCCGGACGGAGGGAGTAATACTTTTTTAAAGATCAAACTAGAAATAAGACATACTCCCTCCATCTCGGAAAACATAGGAGTTTTAATTTTGAAGAGGGATTTAAGGACATTGAATTTTGATATTGAATTTCCAAATATGTCCTTTGATGTGATGGGTAAAAGTATGATTTGTTGGATAGATTATTAATAAAAAGGTATGATGTGATAGGTATGGTATAAAAAAGTAAGGGGTAAAAGCGACTTTTTAATAGAAATGAGAAGTGTTTTTTGGGACGGATGAAAAAAGAAAGGAAAAATGTTTTTAGGGACGGAGGGAGTATTACATATCATCACAGTAAAGTTTAAACTTAAACTCTTCTAAATAAGAGTAACTAACTTAACTAATTTAAATTTGCATGCACTCTCTCCCTCATTGAACTTCTTTTTCAACATCAGAAACACCAATCCACTCAACTATTTGCCTCTCTCCATCAATTGTTTAGAACACTCTAATAGTGCATCTTCAACTCTTCCATGGGACCATTATGGTGTAACTAGAAGCTCCAGCGCATGACCATGTGGAGTGTGGATGCTCCCTTACCTTACGAAGTAATTCTACAAAGAAACGCCCAAATCAATCCTATGCTTTTTATAGTAAACCATTATCAACATAGAGCAAAATATGAGTAAAAAATTAATAATACACCAAAATAGGAATTGAAAAGATAAATCACCAAAATAGGAGTGATATTCATTTTGTAAAAAGTCTAAAGTAAAAAATATACTCAATTCTTTAAAAAGGCAGCAGACATGCTCCCTCTCCTCTCATATATGCCTTGGATTCGCAACACTATTGTACATCCGTCGCGCAAGAAGCTCGCCGTCATTCCCAAGCAGCCGGTGTTGAGAAGGAACGTATGCTGGCCGGAGTAGCCTAGTCGCTAGCGTACAGTCCCTCTCCCTGCCACCAAAGTGTCACATTAGTTATTCATGGTGTCAAACAAAATAGTATAATGTCAAACATGACAACACATAATGTCAAACATGACAATATATAATGTTATACATGACAATGCATAATAATAAACATGACAATGTATAATGTGAAAATTTAGATTTAAACAATCGAAAAAGCCAGAGTCCAAAACAACTTAAAACAATCGAGAGCACAACCAGAACCCCAAATATCTACCAAAAGAATTCTCGACATAGCAACTTAAAAAACTTACAAAGAACATCAAGGGTTCAGTTATCAATAACTTACATATATAAACTCAATAAACTGCTCATTAAAATGTCCATACATTGTCAAAAAAAGATCCCATGTAACACCATGCGTAAAAGCATAATGACAATTATGCTAATGTATAAAGTCATAAATGTGAATGCATAATGTTAAACAAATAGATAATGTCATACCTAGCAATGTATAATTACATATATGTCAATCTATAATGTTATATATCACACACATTAATACATAGTGTCAAAAAGAGTTATACGTCAAGAAGTTCTACATTTGCCAACACCATAATCATTCAGTTTCAATACCAACTTTACAAAATAATTCTATAATAAGTAAATTAAGATTTAAAATTGAATGTCACCCGTTATGTCGAATTGAATATAAAATTGAACTCAACCTTACAAGAGGCGCAAAAAATTAGTACCAATTTTACGAAATAATTTCCTAAGAAATAAATTGTTAGATTTAAAATTGAATGTAACCACTTATGTAAAATTGAATATAAAATTGAATTCAAACTTATACCAACAGATGTAAGCATCGTCGCTGGGAGTCTATGCGACGAAAATGGTGGAAGGGGTGGAAGGAGATCGTCTGTATGAGAGAAAGGGAGATGTGACGGAGTGCGGTGGAATCATTGTCGCGCGGAGGCAAAGGTGGAGGCGGAGAGGGGCTTGAGATTGGGGTAACGTCGACAGCAACTGGTATGGAACGAAGAAGGAGATCAGCGACGATGCAGATTAAGAATGAGATCGGGACCGGGCGATAGTTTTGATCCTAAAGGGGGATGTGTCGTTTGTGCGGCCATTAGTAAATGAAAACATACTTTAATTAATTATTACTCATGTTTCGAGGAGTTTAAGTTTGAGCTTCTATTTTAAAGATATGACATATGTTTCACTCCTATTTAGGGCATTTCTTTTTTCATACACAAAAAAATTACTTTTGCAAAAAAATAAGTTTAATACTCCGTATAAAGTTAGCATAATATAGAAGTGTGAAGTCCTACCTAAGCTTAAACTTTTGGGTTAGAATAATGGATTCTGATTTTTATGCAAGTGGTTAATTTTACCCGATACTCTATCCGTTGTTCTCGGGCAATCAGAATTTTAACATAATATAATATTCATTATAAAATAATATTAGATTCATTTTGGAATAACGTAATATTCGTTCCACCGTTGTGGTTGGTGATTTAATCAGCAATATCACCTCCCTCGATTTACCTAAAAGTTAAGAGTACGGGGTAATGCTAGAGCCATAAACAAAACATTTACAAATTTATAAATTTGCCTAATATGAAATGTAAAAGATTGAAATAATGATCTCAAGTAACTAAAAAATAAAAATTAAAATACACAAATAGTAAATTTATGTATTTTGTGAGTGCTTTATTTGTGGCTCTAGCATTAATAAAAAAATTAATACTCAATATTGCTCCGTAAGAGACACTCGTGTTCATTTCTTATTTTTTTATTGTTTGATTTTTTTCTTTTCTTAACTCTTTTTTATCTATTTGTTTTCTATTAGTAGAAAAGGTTTTTAAATTTTTTTTTCAATTTTTATAATTTTTTAAAAATTAAAAATTCTTTGTGTTTGAAATAAAAATAAATAAATATGAATTACATATACTTTACCTATCTCAAATTAAATATTTTTACTTTTTGTTTTCTAGAACGTTTTGTTGGTAAGTTCAAAAATAAAATTTAGAATAAAAAATAACAATATGGAAAACAGAATGAAAAAAAGAAACATGCAAAAATTTGTATACAAAAAAAATCAGAACACCTAAAAATTCTTTAGAATTAAGATGTCCAAAAAGGATATACATTTTTATTTTTTGTTTTATTTTATTCCTCTTTTTGAAGTTGTCAAAAAAGTTTTTGCTTTTTTATTTTGGAAAATAAAATATTAAAATTCTTAATTGGAGAAGTACAGATGCAATAAAGGAAAAACTTGATTAAATTGAGAAGTACACATGCAATAAAATATTTTTCCCAATTTTAAGAACATTATAAAAAAATTTAAATGAAATCTGTTAGACGCCTCGCACACCTCTGAAGGGGGATGAATAGAGGTGTTGCCCAAAAAACCAGTTTTTTTTGCGTGGAAACGTTCTTCACGAATATTCAATAAAAACAATGCACCAGAAACAAAATAAAGTGAAGGATAAGAGCATTGCACACACGATATATACTGGTTCGGCCTAAATGCCTACATACAGTCCCCGAAGCAATCGTGCCCAGGCCTTCACTAACCCGTCAAACTTAACGGAGTTTGACAATTCAAATACATCTCGAGAACTTGATTTCACAAGCCTCTTATCTTACCACCGAAGTTTTGATTTCACAAAACTCAGGATTTCTTCCACCTAACGTTTGATTTCACAAACCATTAGGATTTCTACCACTTGGTGTAATCCCAATACCAAGAATACAAATCCCTTACAATAAAGTAAGAAAACAAACCGCAACCGAGTAATTTTCCCAACATGGAGTAGATTATTGCAAATACAATGAAGTCCTTTAGAATATGGCAATATCTTTCAAAGACTCAAGCAATGAGGAAAAACTCAAGTAAGATATGATTTAGCAATCAAAACAATTGCCTTGCTTGGATACAAGGAGGGGATTGAGTAGAATCTCTTTTGATATTCAAAGGATATGTTCTTCAAAATGTTCTAAGTGTTCTTATAAAGATAATCACGAAAGTAGGTAGTTTATAGAAGTTAGGGAGTGGATAGGGATGAAAAGCATTCAAAAAACTAGCCATTTGTTAGTTGAAACTGTCGACTTATTCGAATAACTCAAGACCTATTCGAACAGTTTGGATCAATCGCGTGGCTTGAAAAACCAGTTCATATTCGAATAAATGGTGATTTATTCGAATAAATCAGGTTGAAAAACCAAGACTCATTCGAATAAGTGGTGATTTATTCGAATAAAACAGGTTAATTTCAGTCACAGGAAAGATCATGACTTGTTCGAATAAACTAAAGATTATTCGAATAAAAAGGCAACTTTCCCACACAAAGGCTGATCTAAAATGTGTTTTAAAGGTAGGATGATAAGGGAATGAGCCTTAGAGATGTCATATTCTTTAACACATAATCTAAGACCTAAAACACTACCCAACTAAGGAAACAACCTCTTCGGTCTCGTGTTTTTCACCGATGCTCAAGTCCCTTCTTCATGGACGGATATGAACTTGTTGTAACTTTGATTCTTAGCCTTGATGCACAATATGATGATGATGTTTTGTCACTCTTTTGTCATTATCAAAACCTAAAAGACAATGGGCAAAGGACATTGCAAAAATATATATTCATGATAGCACATTGTCCAACAAAATCTAGAAAAACTTGATTAATAAAAGAAGCAATAAAGGAAAGAAGAGAAAAATAAAAAAATAATAAATGAGCACCAATGCCAAGTGCCAACTATGATTGAAAAATGGCAAATTATTTATGTACCTTAGATTCATGCTTCTTTTATAGACCTTAGTGCATTTTCAACTTTAAAAAAGTGGCATTTTACACAGAAAGAAAATATTCATATACAATTCCATGAAAAAAGTGAAAAGATTTACATTTTAAATGTTGATCTTGTGATCACGTATTTATCACACTTGAGAAATAGGTATCAATAACCCCTTCTTCGCTAGAAAAATGGACAAAAAATGACCAGAAACGGTATGGAAACATGGGATTCTTGAAAACATGGAGATTTTTAGAATAAATTTTAAAAACAGTGGAGTATTAATGTCTATTTTCTGAACAGGTACTCGTGATATTTATTCTTGAAAACAGGAAGATTTTTAGAATAAGTTTTAAAAACAGTGGAGTATTAATGATATTTAGCCGAAAAATAATTTAATACCTAGTACTCCATAGATCCAAGTAAGCCATCCAGTCGTATAAAAAACAAGAAATCTTATGCCTGCTGAATCGCTATGAAGTAGACGGAAAAGAGAGAAGCAGAGACGGCCTACGCGATGAAGAAGATGAATTGCACTTGGTAATCGCAGCAATTAGGGTCGCAATTAGGGTAATGGACAAGGTAATTCGCGCCATGGGGCGGGTTTAGGTTTCGCCATTTCAAACATTGGTCTCAAGTCGCTCGCTGATATTTCAAAATGTTAAGCCAAAAGAGCCCCAAGTATTTAATATATACAAGCACGTTAAGTCCTGTGACTTGGGGCTTATGATTTAAATTTGTTGCTTAAAACCTTTTAGAATGATCTGTTAATGTAGCGTGCCCCGAGTTGTGGAAGAAAGCCTTTCGACGAGACAATTTCTTTGAGCATGTTTGTCATTGTTAATTTGTGTAGGCTGCCAACGAAATAATGGATATTGAAGGCATTCAGTCACACCTCCATGCCTTAAGGCAGTTATATGGACTGTTACAAAATGATGAGGATGGCATGCCAAGGGTGACCGCAGAAACTGTAAGTTCTCTTTCCCTATTTGCAACTCAGTGGAAAAGGCTAAAATCCACCATTGGTCCTTCAACTTTATCAGTTGTGCACGATTGGTCCTTCAAGTTTCAAAAGTCCATAAATAGTCCTTCAACTTTATGAGTTCTGCACCATTGGTCCTTCAAGTTTCAAAAGTCCATAAGTAGTCCTTCAGGTACACGTCAGTCCTCCATATGAAGTCCTTTTGACAGTAAATATTAAAAGTTAAACGAAATACTAGTTTCATATAATACGAGTAAATTCCACTAGGTACGACTACTCCGTATTATATGGAGCTAGTATTCCATTTAGCTTTTAATATTTAATGTCAAAAGGACTTCATTTGGAGGGCTGACGTGTACTTGAAGGACTATTTATGCACTTTTAAAACTTAAAGGACCAATCGTGCATAACTCATAAAGTTGAAGGACTATTTATGAACTTTTAAAACTTGAAGGACCAATCGTGCATAATTGACAAAGTTGAAGGACCAATGGTGGAGTTTAGCCTAGTGGAAAATGTTTGATCTTGAGACAAACTTTTAATCTTCATAGGGTTATAAAGGTAGTGTTTACTTCAACTTTTTCGTGCAATTTTCTTGTTCAATCTCATGACAGCTATGCATATTTTCTTCTCCTCAATTGGAAACAAAAACTTGCTTAGTGTTCCTGGTTGAAAATTGACTAACAAGACTTTGCTATTTCTTTAGAATGTGGAGAACATTGAATAACTGGATGAAAATTGACTAACAAGATTTTTTCTCCAGGAAATGCCTGCCAGGGCTTATTTCTAATGCCATGTTTTTTTTGGAGTGCAGTTGGACAATAAAGGAAAGCTTCTGTTAAAAAAGTTATTGGACAGTGCTACTGAAAGGGTATTTGAGGTTCATTCACAGGTAATATTTTTATTCCTTTGTAAGGAGTCTTCAACCTACCCAAGAATAAAGATCTAGATGTTCCCTAGTGGGATCAGAAATCAACTACAACATACCTAGTGTAATATCAAAGTATTCATCTATGAACATATCTGTGTGATAATCCATATTTCTCTTATTTATTTTGTGTGCATTTATGACTTTTGTTTACATCTATTGCAGATCATAGCTCGTGAGGTTGATGCATCTCCGGCAAACAGTTCATTAAAAGTTGATGGCATTGGTAAGCAAGAAAGTGTGGTGGTAGAGGCACCAAATTTAATCTTCTCTGCCTGTGAATCTGAAAACAGAAGGAAACGCTGCAGGATTTGCCAACGTCCCAAGACTGTGAAGCATTTTAAACATAGTAGGAGAGTGAAATTCACTGATAATGGAAGCCAGAGCTCTATAAGAGTTACTCCATCACAGGATAAACCAAGCAATCAAGTTAGTCACATTTGGCAGAGTGATGATCAGGGAGAAGGATTTCGATCGCTTAACACCCAATTCTGTTTTCCATCAGGAAGCAATGAAAGGGAAGATAAGAGTGGGGTTTTTCTCAGTGGCATTGGGTCTATTGTTTCTTCTTCAGCTAATAGGACAGTGCCTGAGTTTGTTAAAACAAAAGCTAGGCATGATGAGCATATTCACGAAACTGTGGGAGACAATTATTTGTCCAAACAAGTTTCAGAAGCCATCAAACAAATTGAACTGTGCATATCGACCTTGCAGTTGGAGGCCAAATATGAGTCTGGCAATGCCATTGCTGATAAGTTTCTGCAATTGGATGTCCCTTCTGCTGTTAGGCAGACACAAGGATTGATCCCCAGTTTTGTGAATGAACCAAACAGCTCAGACCATGATATTGCACATAAAAAAACTCCAGATTCTAAGGGTTATAGATTCATGGAACGCCAAAAGGGGACAGCAAATTCACTTTCTGTGCCTCTGAACTTGAATACTTGGAAAATAAAATCTCCGAGGCCAACAATGCAGTTTATTGAAAACAAAAAGGGTTTGGAAAGTCATCACAAAACTATGAGACAGACTAGGTTGGGTTCTGAGCACAGTCAACTCACGGAGACCAGAAAGTTGGATAAAGATGTGATTCGATATGGAAACCATGGAAAAAGAAGGTATATAATGCAGCAGGGATCTGGGGCTACAACATCGAGCTCATACTCAAGCCTGAGAAGCAAGCAGCGGCAGCGAAGCAGTTATGGTAGTAGTAGTAGTACAGAAGAAGGAGACTATTCAGTGTCGGGGCAGAGCAGTTATCTGAAATATTCAGACGGATCGATTAACAGCAGCAGTTGCAGTGACAGTGGGCCCTACCGTTCACGTCGCATCACAAGAAGCCGTTATATGACTGATTCAAGCAGTGGTGAGAATGAGGTTTACTCATCATCATCATCATCATCATCATTGCCAAGCAGCAGCAGTGCTAGCAGCTTTCAGCAGAGGAGTTGTTCTACACGCAGAGGTGAGAGTGAGAGTGAGACATCCTCGCAACTAGATTCTTCTTCTACCCATTCTGTTGATTCATCATCAAAGACATCCAGTCCTGTTAGGGTCCACAAATCTGCCAATTCGAAGAAAACTAAGAAGACACAAGTTGGGCGGTGGAAGAAGTTGAAGGACAAGCTAGGAATTATATTTCATCATCACCATCACCACCACCACCATCATAATGACAACAAGAAAGTTCAGAATACTAGTAGTTATAATATAACCAAGGTAAATCACAAAGAACCTGCACTGAAGCTGCAAGGAAAGATTCCAAATTCTCAGAGAAAATATGAGGCCTTTGAAGAACAGGCAATGCAGAAGGTTGGAAAGAACAAGCAGGGCAGCAATTTTCAGACTCTAGTGAGGGGGCTGAGGCACGCCCGCCATTTGAAGAAACCAAAGCTACCAAAACACGGCGGGCTACCCTCCAAGAAGGGGACACATGGGAACAAGAAGGTGGTCAAGGCATCTCATTGGTGGCAGCTGTTGCGTCACCATGGAAAGCTGAAGAAGCCACCCGTGTTGCTCGATTCAAAAGCTAAGAAAAAGCTTGGGAAAGACTTTTCTAAGATGAAGGGATGAGAGGAGGCAAACATCATGGTTAGGCATTTGAGCATCCAGTAAGATCAACTCTTCTGGTATATTTATTTAGCTTCGGCATTGTTTGTACTATTCAAAACTAATGAAACACCTACTTGCCCATTATGAACTCATATATGTAATTATCCTAGCTTGGTGTAAATATATATCCGGTGCACTGTAAGTTTTGCATTTTTTTCTGACGTGACATGAATTGTTATATTATAGCGATGGCCCAATACTCTCCCCATAAAAGCTTCCTCTATTCAACTTGCCTCAGATGTCTTAGACATCAAAATTTTCATACTTATCCAATACTCAGCTGTTTTTGTAGGAATATTTCATAGCCAAGAAGAATTTTGGCTATGAGATAGAGAGGAGATAGGGAATGAGTAGGGAGAAGATTTCTTCACTAGAAAAGAAGAACCTTTGTAGATATTTGTAGATGAAGGAGAAATGTATGATAATTTAACAGAGATTTCTTCACACACTTTCACAAAACAAATAAAATTATTACAAACTTCGAAGCATTTCAAACACAAATTTACAAACTCTGAAACTCACATTCATCACAAAGCACACAAATCATCCATTTCTCCATAAACTATGAATTAATACCGCAAGGTTCTAACCGGAGATCTCAATGGATTTGACCTCCGGCTTCTTCACCTCCTCCTTGGGAACCGTCACGGTGAGCACTCCGTTCTCCATGGACGCCTTCACCTGGTCCAATTTTGCGTTCTCCGGCAGCCGGAACCGGCGCAGGAACTTGCCGCTGCTCCGCTCCAGGCGGTGCCACTTGTCGTCCTTCTCCTCCTTCTCGCTGCTCCTCTCGCCGCTGATCTGCAAAATCCTCCCTTCCTCCACCTCCACCTTCACCTCCTCCTTCTTCAGCCCCGGCAGATCCGCCTTGAACACGTGGCTCTCAGGCGTCTCCTTCCAGTCGATCCGCGCGTTTGCGAACGCTGACGTCTCGCTCGGCGTGCTGACGGCGTTTGAAAACGGGAATCCCTGGAAGGGGTCCCAGAAATCGAGAGAGAACGGGTCGGGAACGTGGCTCCGGGAGCGACCTCCGAAGAAGCTTGGAATCAGAGAAATTTTACCACAAACAAAGCGAGAACTAATTCGAACTTCTGTTTGATTGATTGATTAAATGGTGTTGATACTCTGAGCAGATTCTTTTTTTTTCGATGAGAAAAAGGGGGAGCAGAGATGGCGTTTATATACGGAAGAGACGATGGTGCCTGAACCTTCGAGGAGCTTCTCCAGAGCCTTGGTATAAAAGCTTCCAGTCTTCAGCCGCCTGTAACTTCGTATCTGCAACGTTCCAGAAAATCCTGATTTTAAAAAAGAAATACTCCCTTAGTCCTAAAACTTTTTTCTCACTTCTCCTTTTTTTCTGTCCTAAAACTACATTCTCATTAAGAAAAAAAGATGACAAATGACATTAATACCCTCATGTATTTACACCAATTATCTTCTAACTCTATATTTTGAATGATTTTAAAAAAAAATCAAAAAATCTTTTTTAAGGAGGGTAAAATTTGAAGTCAAAGCCAAAAAATAAAAAATAGGGAAAAGTCAAATTCAGAAGAAAATTTTAAGACAGAGGGAGTATTAGATATCACTAAAATTTAAATCATGTCTCAAAATAACATTTAAATTATTTTATTTTCTAAATAAAACTTAATAATGTTTATAATATCTAGTGATGACGAACATTTACTTAAATAATAACTAAAAGTCCTACATTAAAAAAACATATATAATGCTATTTAGAAAAAGTTATTATCTTTTAGTGCTTTTAAAAACTCATACTTCCATCTTCAAAAAAAACTCATACTCCTCCATCCCAAAAATAGCATTATAGTCTTTATTCAAAATTGACAAGAACTTTTTCATTTACATATTTTTATGGATTATTTGATATTACCTCTCTCTTAGAATATTTATTTAGTTTTAACTTTTTTTTGTTAATTAATTTAACTTTTAATTATAATAAAATATATGGTATATTAAAGCAAGGAGGAGAAGATTGAAGAATGAGTAGGGAGAAGAAATGAGGTCAGACGATGAAGAAAAAGATAGAGAGAAGATAGGGAAAATGAGTTCGTCCAGTTTGGACTTTTGGAACTGTTATCTAAGTACTTTGACTCATCAAATTTTTTTAATGTGTAAGTCTAAATATAGTCATGTGTGATCTTGTTTGATTTGTCTTAATTATTAATATATAATTTCTATAATTTTATAATATAGAAATTACAAGATAAAATGGATTAAAGAAGTATATTGGATGGTGTGTAAAAATGAAAGTGGACAAATACTCTGGGACTGAGATAGTATTTTCTATTGACTCAAATTTTCAATTCATGCCAAACAAGTGACAACGGGGAAAATTTTTCCCATTTCCCAAACGTTTAGACTCAGATCAATTAACTTCAGCAATTACTAGCACTTTAGATTTAGGTGCATCTGCGCGAGAGTGAATATTTTCTTCCAGAAACCCCAAATTATAATTCCGAATATACGTGTGCAAGAAATGGAGAAAGGGCTCATTGTTATTAATTTCCTCGATCGCTTCAAATTACATTACAATTACATATGTAAAGCAAGATTAAAAGGAGACTCAAATCAATTATTAGGTCCCCAACAGCTCAAATACATGACGGTCCTCAGAGACTCCTCGGAGCGCTTCAATTGCTCGTCTCGCAGCTTGGCGGAGACGGCGGAGGGAGAAGGCAGCCTGGTGGCGTGCTGGGAGTAGGAGCGGAGGTTGGATTTGGCATGCTGGTGGAGCAGTCTGAAAGCGTAGTTCCATCTGGCGAAGCCTTGGTCCTTCAGGGCCTCCACCGTCCCCACGCTCGCCGCCACGATCCACCTTCTGCTGCTGCTTCCTAAGCTCATTCTTCCTTTCTTCTGACTTTATATTGAATTGCCGGCTGTGATTGTATTGGATGCGATCTGTGTGATTGGTGATTTCAGATGGAGATTTGTGGTTTTGGTTTTTGATGATTTTGAAGAGTAAAAAGGGAGGCTCTTATATATATACTCCATATATGCGTGGAAGAAACAAGGTGCAAAGTAATCAGTGTGCACAAAAACAGGTGGGTGGTTTCGCTAATGGATTTGGGGGGGACCCTCTTTGTTTTGCTGCAATATGTGTGCGGGTGGATATGGACTCATTACTCTCATAGAGTCATAGAGTAATTGATAGGACCCACGCCTTATCAAACAAGGATTAAACTATGTGTAAACAAAAATTTGTACTTCAATGTTGTGGTGTTATTTCTATTCTAATATGCTCCATCACATGCAAGTATAGTCTTTTTTGAGCTTTACACGTGAAATTTTAATTTTTTAAAAAAATTGGATGATGCTGAGTTTCAAGTGACCTCTTTATCAACAAGCCTCTGTAATCATGTCAAGAAACCAACTAAACCAAGAGCTCAAGCTTGTGATTGTCGCCCAGGAAATGTTATTTGGTCCGTCCCTGAGTGTTTGTCCATTTTTGACTTTTGGAACTGTTCATCTAAGCACTTTGACTCATCAAATTCTCTCAATGTGTAAGCCTAAAAATAGTCATGTGTGATCGTGTTTGATTTGTCTTAACATATAGATTATTAATATTTAATTTTTATAATTTTTTAATATGCAAATTATAAGATAAAATGGATTAAAAAAGTGCATTTGATGGTGTGCAAAAATGAAAGTGGACAAACACTCAGGGATGGAGAGAGTATTTTTTTAGAGTGATTTGTCAGAAGGTAGAAAGAATTTGAAGAAAATAAATATAGTAGGAAGAAATTAGAAGAAACTGGAAAAAACTGGAAAAAACGGGAAGAAAGTGGAAGAAACTGGAAGGAATTGGAAGGAACTGGAAAAAACAGGAAGAATTGGAAGAAACTAGAAGAAACTGGAAGAAACTGGAAAGAACTGGAAAGAACTGGAAGTTAAGAGTTCAATTTCTAAAGAACCGGCCCTTAATGTGTTGATATTTAAAGTTTGGCCCAAAATATATACTGAGCAAGAACTCTCGAGGAGTAGGCAATTCTATATTACTCCGCAGTAATTAGCCCAAACCTAGCATTTTTCAAATAAAAAACAAAAGCAATTTAGGTCTCGTTCCGTTCAACTTATTTTTTATTATTTTTTCTTAATTTTATTAAAATCAGATCAGATCAGATCGAATTAGATCAGATCCAATCAGATCAGACCATATCAGATCAGATCCCTCAAGAATTATTATTATTATTATTATTATTATTATTATTAAAAATGAAAAAGAATAAACTTTAGAAATAAGTTAAATAGAAAACTGATAAAGTAATTCTTAACTATTAGACGTTGGAAAAATTGTTTTTAAAATACATTTACAATGTCATCTAATTCTAATTTTATTCCAATGTATATATGAACTAATTATTATAATACTAAATCAATATTCTTATTTCACAAAAAAATAATCATAAAATAAAAAATATTATTACATTAAAATATGAATGATTATTCTAATATATGAATTAACTAATTTTAGTTTATAAAAAATAATAATAATATAAAAAATATTGATTATATTATAATATGAATTATCATTACTATTTTTAAACGTTATTATAGTCAAATAAAATTAGTGATTTTAATTTTAAATCAAATCATACTTAGGGGATGCTTGTTTCAGCCTCTTAATGGTTCAGATGTCTGAATGGTTCAGCACTTAATGGTTCAGACTGTTTGTTTCAGCCTCTTAATGGTTCAGATGTCTGAATGACTCAGACATTTGCCTCTGAATGGTTAAGTATTATACAGAGTCTGAATGGTAAAGACCTCTTATCTGAATTGATGATACATTTGCCTCTGAATAGTTAAGCAATATACTAGCTCTTAATGGTTCAGACCTCTTACTGGTTCAGCACTTAATGGTTCAGACCTCTTACTGGTTTAACACTTACCTATTCAGAAGTTGCCAAACAGCCCCTTAATCAGATTAGATTAGACCAGATCAGATCAGATTAGATCAGATTTAATGAGATCGGATCAAATCAGATCAGTTCAGATCAAATCAGACCAGATTAAATTAGATCAGATCAAAACTACCGAAAATTAGATCATATCAGAAAAAATAAGTTGGATGGAATGGAGCCTACTCTAGAGTACCTTAACCTTTTTTCACTTAGAACTTGCAGGAGGGAAAAATTTACTCCAAGAGCGATTGCATTAAAGTTTAAATCAAATTATAACTTAATTTTATTGTATTTTTATAAAAAGTTAGTTTGCTAAGTTTTCACTTGCTAAAACATATAATCTCAAAAACACTTTCTTTTTCATTTTTCTACTTCTAACAAAACACTTCTCCTTTTTATTAAAAAAATCACTTTTACCTTTACTTTTTCATACTATACCTATCACATCATATTTTTTCTCTAATAATTTATCCATCACATCTTACTTTTACCCATTACTTCAAGGACAAAATTAGAAGTCAACTACAATTTAACACTTTCTTATTTTTAAATTTTGTCAAAGTAGGAACTTTTTTTGAGAACGGAGGAAGTACGTAGTATTAAATTACACATTAAATAGCCATTATTTTTATCATGTTATAAGAAAATCCTTCACTTTTTAACTTTTCGTTGTCAAAGGAATTCTTTTTATTCTAAAACTTTTCTAATGCAGATTTTTTCTACAATAATGAAAATATATCTTTCACATGATTTTTAATATTATATACAAATAATATCATGACGATTTATAAATAATAAGTTTAAAAATTTTAAAAATAGAAACTTTGAGCATTGACATAAAAATAGTCACAAACAAATAGTTCACAAAATTTACAAACTTACCTTTTTAACACTTTTCTAGAAATAAGATGCACTCAAATAATAAAAGATATTTTATTTTAAAATCCACAAAAGGTAAGTTTGTAAAGTTTGTGAACTAAATGTTTGTGACTCTAGCATTTTCCAAAAGGGAATCCATAAACCACCATATATACTCTAAATTAGCATGGCATGAATTGAAATTAAACCATCATATACTCTAAAAACAAAGACAGGTATATTATTATTGAAATTAAACCATAATCCATAATCTATCATATTATTATTGAAATTAAACCACAAAGCATCCTCAAGTATAAAGCATAAATTATCTATCAAATTATAAAGCATAAATTATCTATCAAATTATAAAGCATAGACTATCTATCAAATTATAAAGTATCACTTGGACATTATTCTTCTCACTAGTCATTATTAAGTACTATATAATGAATAAAAAGTTTAAGTTTTACGTTGGAAAATGAATTACTCCCTTCGTCCCAAATTATTTGCAATGTTTTTTTCCAGCAGTCGCGAGAACTTTTGTTTATTTTTAGGTTTTCATTAGTTATTTGATAAAATAAAATATTCTTGACACCCCTTATTTCGAAGAACTTTTCATGTAGTTTTTTGATATGTAAATTTTATTTTTTATTTCTATACCAATATGTAAATAAAATGAATTGAAAAAACTTGATATTTTACCTCGGAAATACAAGTGTTGCAAATATTTAGGGACGGAGAGAGTATCTTTTAATCCTATTCAGTGGAAATTTCACATTGACAAATGACAAATACTCAGACAAGTCGAGAGTTCTTGCAAAGGTAAACGGCACCAGTTTTGTGGCATTATTGGCTAGGTATTACACTATTAGAGCACTCGGTATACTCGGTATACTCCACACGCCCACCGGTGTTACGGGGCGTTAAACACCGCCCCCGCCGGCGTTAAAGGGGCGTGAGGAGCCCTGCGTCAAACGAATGACGCTCCGTCATTCGTCTCCCCCTCCCCCCTAACGGCTTTTTTAGCCGTTGCAGACCAAAATTCAAAAAAAAAAAAAATTCTTATAAATTCAAACCTCCCTCCCAATCTCTCACACCTTCTCCATCTTCAATCTCTTCTTCTTCCCTATTTTTAAAATTCAAACCCCCCCTCCCAATTTTAAACATGAATCCTTCCGGCTCCGGCTTCTTTCCCGACGATCTCGCACCCGTCGACGCCGCGATGTGGTATTACCAAAAGTTGGGCGATCGACCGTCGATGTACGAGACGCAACAATCGGGGTACGTCGACCGAGATTCGGTTCCGAAGACTCAACCGGAACCATCCGGATCGAAAAAAAGTACACGCCGGAGGAGCCACAAAGCCAAAAGCACGTTGACCGAGGCGGCACGGTCAATCCAAAAGTGGAAGCCGGAGGAAGAGTGCATATTGGCATCGGCTTGGGTTGACGTCTACGAGCATCCTATCATTGGTAAAAAAATTTATTTTTTGTAATATATTTATGTTTTTATTTTTATATATTATATTTAATGGTGTCTAAAAAAATTGTGTAATACATTTTTAAAGGTACGGACCAAACGAAGGATGCGATGTGGGATCGTATCGAGGTGAAGTTCTTCACGGCGATGAAGAAGGACGGCTCCTACCGAACCCGGGACCAACTCACTTCCAAATGGTGCCACATCAACAAAAAAGTCCGAAAGTTTATGGGAGTTTACGAAGAATGCTTCCGGTCCCGGAGGAGCGGCATGAATGATGCTGATGTTCTCCGGCTTGCCACGACCCAGTATCAAGACGACGGGAACCAAGGCAAGGTGCCCATCGATCTTTGGAAGATTTTGAGTTGTTCCCTGAAGTGGCAACAACTCAACAATTTCGACGGTGGATCATTGCGGAAAAGATCCACCGTCGACGCCGAGGTTGAGGTCGACGAGACTATCAGTTCTACCGATCAAATCCCTCCCTTCAACGTTGCGGATTCCGATGACGAGGACCCCATTCCACGGCCGATCGGAAGAAAGAAGGCAAAATCCATTGCCTCTGGTTTGGGAGGGTCCGCCTCTGTTTCTGCTTCTCCCCGCGACGAAATCGGCCGGGCAATGATTGAACAACTTCGGGCGTTCAATCTCCAAGAACAAGAGAGGTTGAAGCTAAAGGAGAAGGAGTTGAAGCTAAAGGAGCAGGAGGCCGAGATGAAAGTCATGCGAACCGACCCCGGGACGTTGTCGGAGTTTGGACGAATGATCTATGAGCAAAGAATGAGAGAGATCAAGGAGAAATATAATTTATCTTAGTTTTTTTATTAATGTATCTTTTTTAAATTATTGACGTTTTTTTATTTAATTAATGTATTTTTTTATTATTCGTGTTTCAATTTAATTCAATAATAAATTAATTACATTTTATTAATTTAATTTTAGAAGATGTATTTTTAAAAAGGTAAAAAATGAAGGTTTGAAGCCCCAGTTTGAAGCCCCGGGGCTTCAAAACGATTTCCAGTGAATTTTGAGTGTAAGTTAAAGCTGATGTGGCAGAGAGAAAGTTTGAAGCTCCGGGGCTTCATAACCATTATTAGTACTCTTACTCCATTGCGTATGCAAACTCATACTTTGTGTGGGTCCATTCAATTACTCCTGAGTGTATTATTGGCTTGGTATTATCCCCCGGCCCCCGCCCACATATTGGCAGAAAAAAGGGCGTCGCTCCCAAATCCATTGGCGAAACCACCCACCTGTTTTGTTTTGTGCACACTGATTACTTGGCACCCTCTGTATTTGCTTCTTCCAATCCTATGGAGTATTTATAAGAGCTTCCCTTTTGCTCTATAAATCATCAAAACAAAATAGCAATATCTAAAATCATCAAAACAAAATAGCAATTTCTGAAATCACCAATCACACAGATCGCATCCAATACAATCACAGCCGGCAATTCAATATAAAGTCAGAAGAAAGGAAGAATGAGCTTAGGAAGCAGCAGCAGAAGGTGGATCGTGGCGGCGAGCGTGGGGACGGTGGAGGCCCTGAAGGACCAAGGCTTCGCCAGATGGAACTACGCTTTCAGACTGCTCCACCAGCATGCCAAATCCAACCTCCGCTCCTACTCCCAGCACGCCACCAGGCTGCCTTCTCCCTCCGCCGTCTCCGCCAAGCTGCGAGACGAGCAATTGAAGCGCTCCGAGGAGTCTCTGAGGACCGTCATGTATTTGAGCTGTTGGGGACCTAATAATTGATTTGAGTCTCCTTTGATTCCCCCTTTCTTTTTTTTTAATCTCACTCTCTATGTATATATATGGGAATTGCAATTTGAAGTGGTCAATTCAGCGTGTCTTCCTTCATCTCGGCTTTTTCTTCGCATCTGTAGCCAATTAATTGTGTTAACGCTCAGTATGTCACAAGAAATGCTAGCTCTAGAGTCGATTTATTAGGAGATCCCCAGCGGCTCTCCCTCTCCGAACCTTTTTTTCTCCACTTTTCTTCCCCAATTTGTTTTAGGGAAAACATTTGAAGTTTCCACATCAGAGTATGTAATTGAAATATAACAGCTTCAAATTTGATTTGAATGGGAGGGGAAGCTTTAACGATGTGGGCGTGGATCATTGGCTAAGGATTGAAAGTGAGTATTGTATTGAAGATAATTGACTCCTATTTATTTGATATTGTATCTTGGTGTGAATAATTGTATTTATTTAATTGTAGTTAATTATGGTAGTTTAGATCACCCAAATCTCTTGTACCAAGCTATATATATTTGGCCTAACTCTTAATGATATTTGGCCCAACATTATCTCATGGAAGTCTCAACGGCAAAAAAGTGTGTCTCGGTCAAAGAGTATCGTGCTCTCGCAAATGCAATGGCAGAACTGCAATGGGTACAAAGTCTGCTTCGAGAACTTCACATCCCTCTGACCGAGTCTCCTCTTCTTTACTGTGACAATATCAATGCTCTTCATGTTTGCAAGAATCTTGTGTTCCACTCTCACATGAAGCATTTAGCATTAGATTATTTTTTCGTCTGAGAGTTGGTTTCGTCTGGGGCCACACGTGTGGCCCATGTGCGCTCTTCGGATCAGTTAGCTGACATTCTCACAAAACTGCTTCCGCGTCTTCTCTTCCACAAATTTCGGTCCAAGATTGGAGTCTCAAATGGATCCTCCATCTTGCGGGGGCGTATTGAAGATAACTGACTCCTATTTATTTGAAATTGTATCTTGGTGTAAATAATTGTATTTATTTAATTGTAGTTAATTATGGTAGTTTAGATCACCCAAATCTCTTGTACCAGGCTATATATATTTGGCCTAACTCTTAATGATATGTGTGAATCATTATTCCATATATATTGGACTTTGGATTTTAAATGGAACACATTACCAAATAGGAAAAAACTATTTGCTATTTGTACTCCGTGTTTTTGTACCCTGCATGTTTGCACTAATATTTTGTGTTGGTGTAAAATTAATTTTTATTAATGCACTAATATTATGTGCCCGTGTAAATTTTTGTTAAAACAACAACACTTGTGTCGATGTAAACCATCAAAATGTTTGTGTATAACTGCGGTGTACAAATAAGGTATAATTTGTGGTGTAAGTGTAGCATGACCCTTACCAAATATTCCGTCCAATTGAAAGATTTATTAAGCATGATTTGTCATCTATTTTGTTCTTGTTATGGATTTATTTTTATATTTTATAATTAATAATTGATATTAAGTAAAAAATAAATCTAGCTTTTCTTAGTCAAATTCTTATTTAAAGGGTAAATGCTGAGTATAATTTACTTTTATTTGGGTAATATCTTAATGAATGAAGATGATCTAAGAGCATTGACAATGACAATGCAAAAATGAAATGCCACACGGTGACATGGATTATTCCAACTAATAAAAAGTAACCCAATCACCGTGTGGCAAATGAGTGGAGTGTCGTAACATACAGTGGCAAGTCGTTGTTTTTGTCTATTTTTGCATTTTTTAATGATTTTTAATTATTAAAAAATTATTTTAAAAATCTATTTTATTATTAAAATATGTTTACTTCTTTTAAAAAATATTTTTTTCAAAAATTAAAAATATTAAAAATATTTAAAAAATAAAAAATGAGAGAGTAATGCCTTGCACATGAAATGAAAAGTGGCGTAGAATGGTCATGAAATACCATGATTTGAGTGGGATTTGCTGACATAGCATGGCAAGGCAAGATATTGTCTTGCCATTGTGAATGCTCTAAACCTATGTTGTTTGAAAAATTGATAATGATGTGTCTATGCGTCTATGGTACTAAGTTAATTAGGGTGGGATTTAAGGGGTGTATTCAATCCAGATTTTTTAAGATTTTTTTGAACTTTAAAAGTTGAAGGATTTAGAAATTCATAGATTCTATACAAAGTTTGGGCTACTTTTTAATTGATTTACTTGGATTTTGGAAGTCGGCTTCAATTATTCATCCGCCTACTCCATCATGATTTATTCATCCGCCTGCTCCGTCATAAATTCATCAACTGGATTTTGGCCTAATGATTTGTGCATTGGCCTACTCCATCACAATCGCCCTTCATCAGATCAATGGCCATGGAAGTCGGCTTCAATTATTTGTCATCGTCATAGACTCCAAAACTGGATGCTACCGCCAAATCGCCAATCGATTCTGCCCATCGATTCAATCATCATCGGCGACCATCACTGTAGGCGATCATCTTTTTCCGGCCAATATGGCCGGCCAACGGCCACCGGACCTGCCTCCCCATCCTCCTGACCCTCTGGCGATCTCAATGATAACAAATCTGTCATCAGTTGCTGCCGGGAACAGGGAGATCGCAAGCTTGCTGCCCACCACCGCCGCACCAATTTTTCCGGCGTCCACAGGCCCGAATGGGGTTTCTTCCTCCTCCCAGCTTCTTCCCCATCCTATGGCAACTCCAACCACTAATTTTGCTACTTCATCAGACGCCGGAATACTGAGATTGCAGCCTCCACCTGTGTCCCATGGTCGCTGCACAAATCGAAGAGAAGTCTGCAAAATCCGTAGTATGTTGGTCGGATTTGGAGCATGGATTTATAGGCATGAAAATCCATCAAAATCTACATTATTAAAAATTTTAAAAAATCTATCAACTTTTGAATATCATCATATTTAGAAAGATTTGTGAAAATCTAAATTGAATACATATAGATTTTAAATGACTTTTTCAAATCTGAATTAAATACCTACAGACTTTTGAAATACAAAAAATTTATTAAAATCTTGATTGAATACACACCCTTTAGTTTTTTTTCGGTTGGGTTTGTACCCAAAATTGAAAATTGAACAAAAAGTTAAAATTTGGTTGGTTTATAAAAAATATTTAAATCGTTGGTTTCTCTGCTTAAATTTTTGCGGTTGGGTTTTTTGTTTTTTTTTATTTTTTGAAATACTTTTTTTTAAATAAACGTAAAGAATGTTCTAAAAAAATTAAAAAAATACTCCCTCCATTCCAAATTATAATGTTGTTTACTATTCATAGGGTCAAACTTCATTCATTTTCTTTCTCTATTTTCGTTAGCAATTTGATAAAATAAAGTACTATTGTCATGTAATTTTTATTTTTTTTAACTATATATACTCCGTATAATTTTTCATATAAAATGATTTGAAAATAATTTCAGTCAAACATCGTAAACCGAAACAGGCACTATAAATTAGGACGGAGGGAGTATTATTTTATAAAATAAAAAATTCAAAATGCTTGCAAATATGGAAATCATTGTTTAATAAAATCGAAATTAATAACATCATTTTTTTGAGAAGTAACCAAAATATTGTAATGTTTTTAGTATGTACTCCGTTAAAGTTTTTTCTAAATAAACAAATTGTTCAACTAACGAGTGGACGACATATTGAACATACAATTAATGTAAAAGTTGAAGTTCTTTTTTGAAAGGAAGTAAAAGTTGAAGTTCTGACCTTACCGCAAGTTACACAATTACATTATTATTATAACATGCTAAGTTGGATTTTGAAAAAAAATAATCCAAAAAAGATAGTTCAACATTTTAAATAGCGGTCTACAAAAAAAATGAACTAGCACAGTACCATACCAGACCGTAATGGTACCAAATCATTTATAGTGTTTTTAAACATGATTAATTTTTTTTCATCACGAACCGAAACTGAACCAATACCAAATGGGACGGACCGTGACACAAATATTTGAAACAGATTATCACGGACCGAATCATCCAACGCTATATACGGAGTACGTATCTCAAATAATTATGGAGTATTTGTTGTTTACTTCATCTTACCGTATATTGAGTACTTCGTATTTTATTATTCATTTTTAAACTCTCATTATTATTGTTGTTATTATATTTATCATTATTATTGGCATTATTGTTTTTATAGTTATTAGTATCCGATGTTATTTTTTTAACTTTGGACTCGCTATCTTTTATTTTTTATGTTTATGATCTGTTTAAATTAGAAATGAATACTTTTATTTAACATTTTTATGCTTCTTATACAAATTTTTACATTAAATTCAATATTATTTAAGTAATGTATGTTCATTTTTTTGGCACGATTTGAGCATGGGTATGGTATTGTACCGTTCCGTTTCAAAACGGAATGATACCGAATGGGGTTGGAGTTCATCCCGTACTGATACCGAACCGTTGAAATAATAGCGCGCGGTCCGTGATAGGTTCTGGTAATTAATATCACGAACCATCACGGACCGCGCCCACCCCTAATTTTAAATGCACACCCTCTAAGTGAGAGTGTCGAGTAGACCTGGCAATCGGGTCAATCGGTTCGGTTCCGGGTCGGGTCTTTTCGGTTCGGGTCTCTTTCAGATATATGATATAATCGGTTCGGGTCGGTTCGGGTCGGGTCAGTTCGGTTCCGGGTTTATTTCGGTTTGACTGGTTTTCGGTTTCGGTTCGGGTTTATATCGGTTCAGGTCTGTATCGGT